AATTTGGACTTTTAGCCTACTTTGACTGTGAGGAAATAAACTTCTCTTTGTTAAAACCATCCACGTGTGGTATTTCTGTTATAGCAGTACTAGATGACTAAGACACTAAGTAATATAGTTTTGCATGCTTTCAAACTTTATACGTATGTATTTTTATGTCTGCCTTCTGTCTACATTGTTGGTTTAGCTGTAGTTTGTCCGTTTTATTAGTGTATGATAGTCCATTCTTGGAATATCCTACTTTTTATTGTACTGTAATTGGATATTACGGTTATGTCTATTTGGGACTATTGCAAACAATATTCCATGCACATTCTTATATGTGAGTTCTGGTACACAGAAACACCCATGTTTGAGGATATATCTAGAAGTGAAAACGCTGGTCATAGAGTGTGGATAGCGTGAACTTTATTAGACCCTGTGTCCATTTTGGAGCCCTTGTGACGCAGTGGTTAAGAGCTTGACTGCTATTCAAAAAGCTGGCAGTTCTAATCTACCAGCCGCTCTTTGGAAACCCTATGGGGCAGTTCTACTCTGTTCTATAGGGTCACTGTGAGTTGGAATCGACTTGACAGCAACCGGCAATGGGTTTGTGGTTGGGCATCCATTTTTAATGGAATAAAATGAATTATGTAAATAATTTTCATTAAAAAAAATTAGGAGCTGGCATTATATACACTCAAAGAGCTATCAATAACATCCTGCTTAAAGGAAATGAAATTTCAGACTCAAAAGAATTTAAAGTAATGAGTAATAAACAGGATACAATTATAGGATCATCATTTAAGGCTTGCTTTCTATGTTGGTTCACATCCAGCTCATTCTAGAAGCAATGAGAGTTTTATATGTGAAAGGACTGCCAAATCAGGGCCTATAACACACTAAATGTACGGCTGCTTGCCTGTAAAAGTCTGTTGGCTTAAAAGGCACGTCCAATGTAATGCACAGGTTTCTGCAATTAGTTCATTGAAAGTGATTAATACAACCACTGAGTTAGTACAAAGGATGTAATCAGTTTCCTCATAGTTACTTGATTCTCCTGTGGACCTGATACAGCACTGTTTCTCTAGCTTAGGCTGTAAATGGCCAGAAGGCAGGGCCTCACTTTATTTCTTTTTGTATCCCCAGGATCTATTCAATGCTCCGCACGTACCTGCTTAAAAAGATACTTGTTAAATTTACTGAATTGAAAAAGCTTTAGATCGGTAGTGACTGATTTGAAACTCATCTTCAAGTTTATAAAATTAGAAATAGAAAAATGTTCTTAAGTGAGAATGTGCAATTTATTAATATGAGCATGTTTCCCTATAAAAATATAAATTTGTCATGACGTGTGAAATATCAACTTCAATGCTCAAAGCTATACCAGATTTTTATGCTACCTAGCACCTAAATTCAGACTCTGCAAATCTGCAAAATTCAAACCTAATCCCTGGATTCTCCCTTCATGTGTCCTCCATCCTAGCAGCACCCAATCTTTTCGCCTTGTCTCCGCGTTTGCCCAGATGGGAACGCAAAGTCCTCTGTGAGGAGCACGGCCTTCATGCATCATTCCACATAAACGCAGCACAAAGCTGGCTAGAGCAGTGAAGTCTAGCCAGGGCAGAGGTGGTGCGCAGGGTGCCTTTCACCTTTTCTTTCTATCTCTGCAGCATTCCTGTTCCTTTGCACACTTAATTTCAGTTGCATACAATGTTTCTAATTTCTGTGGAGCTCTATGTTTTTTGCTTAACAAATCTCTCACTCTTCTCTAAATAGCTTCTAAAATGATTAAAGAAGGAATTCACAAAATGAAATGCCTAAGGAGTCTGTGGAATAATGATTTCTTTTCTTGGGTGTTAAGGTACTTTGAACCAGAATGAATGAGGGGAGGTGGAGGAAGACGTGTATGGAGAATGGAGACTACAGCCTCTGCGAAGTCTAAGTGTTGATGCCAGGTGCAAGGCTTCACCACATCTTCTTTCAGCGGATGAAGTGGATAAAGGAGGAAACTCACCCAAAATAACTCCCTGCGACACTTCTTTGGTGTTTGCCCTGAGGAGAAACATACTCCCTTCTCCTGATCCTCTCCTATAGCTCAGTAAGGAGCTAGAGGACTTTGGCAGAGCATTATGAAAACTTGAACTTCTTCATCTAAAGTCTCTAGATTTTCTCTTTTTTGCTTGTTTGTTTTGTTTAACCTATAAAACTCCCCCTAAAAATCCACATATGATAGTAACTCTGATTATTACAAGAAGCCCTGGTAGCACTGGGGTTAAGCGCTCAGCTGCTAACTAAAAGGTCGGTGGTTTGAACCCACTAGCTGCTCCGTGGGAGAAAGATGTGGCAGTCTGTTTCCGTAATAATCACAGCCATGGAAACTCTATGGGGCAGTTCTATCATGTCCTACAGGGTCACTATGAGTTGGAATTGACTCGACGGCAAGGGGTTTGATTTTGGTTTTTGATTACTACAGGAGCCATGACTGAAACTTACAGGTTCCTATCTTGAGTGTCTATCTTTTCTGGAATAGGAAGGTATTTTCTTTTCAAAAGAATCTTTCTTGCTGTGCTAACATAATTTCTTAAGAGTCCAGGGCAATTTCTATATATAGATATATAATAATGAACAAAATCCGTGTTCTGCACCTGGCCCATGTTTTGGAAAAAAAGACCTGACATCTTTTTAAGTATGTGTAAGACTCTGGACTCTTTCAGCTTATACTTCAAAAATGACCCTGACATAAAAGAGTAACTTCTGGCATCTTCCCTATTCCAATTTAAATGCCAGAAAAAAATTTCCCGTAAGTATTAGCTTGACAATGTTGAAAATAAACCCACTGTCACCCATCTGATAAAGAAAACTTACCCTTTTCAATTTGGCAGCAGCCTCTCCAGAACGGATTGCAGTCAACAAACTCTGTCGGATCTGTTCTGGGTCAGAGCTTTGGAATGTTAAAGAACTTTGTCTCTTAAGGGTGAATGATGGGCAGGCAGTTGGAGACGGTATTTGGGAATCTTGTTCATTATGTGCAGAATTATTTACCTACAAAAATGAATGCAAAATATTTAGATAAACACCAAGAGAAGAATGCACCACTTATGCAAAAAAAATCCACAATCAGCAGTTCTTTAAGAATCACCATTTACCACACTGGTATTTCAGAAACAGCTTTAAACCCAAAACCAAAATATGTTTTTGATTTGTGAAAAATACTAGATTTAATTATTTAAGGTAATTATAGAGCTAGGATTTTTTTCTACTTTTTGTTTAAAAGGGTGATGAAAAATTAGTAGGAATAAAATTATGCTATATTATTCTTTAATTTGCAAATGTTCTCAGTAATAGCAGGTCTTCAAATGTACCATTTTCACATAATTTCTAGCATGGATCCACACAGGGAGAGTCAAAATTCAGCCCTTCTCTTATCTTCCAAAGAGCAACAGAAGACATGTACCAGAAAAGAAAAAAAAATCACAGCAAGAGAAATGTTATAATCTCATATTGCTTTCTAAGGGGAATTCAGATGATGGGCGTTGACTGGCAAGGAAGACAGCATGATGCAGAATTGGAGAAACTAAGAGAAAGAGCTATACTGTACTGCATACAAAAGGAGAAGGAAAGAGTTCCAGAAAGGGGGGAAGGGAACAGTTGAGACCTGGGAGCCTAGAAGAGATTGCTTGATTGATGGTCAAGATGCTTCCTGGAGGATTTTTACTTTTGTTTTATTTTTAAATTAAGCTTGTTGGGTAGTATGCAGGTTATCTCTTCTAGGCCGCCCTCCATTACGCGTAATGGTTGGAAGTAGGATATGCTTCCTGAGGATTTCTCTCTCCACCACACATCCTATATTTATTGAATACCAATTGGGTCCCAGAAACTTTTCCAGGCTCTCTTTTAGGCACAAGGGATAGAGCACTGAACAAGAGAGAAGACTGCTGCGCTTATTGACCTTACAGTCTAGTGCATAAGCCAAAGTACTAAATCCTATTTCGTACTGTGTAGTGGGATGAGAACAAAACTGCCTCTGAAGACCAGTCAAATCTGAGTTCCAATAGGAACAGGACTAAAGGGAGGAGCTATATCAAGATCAAAGACTAAGGAAAGAAGGAAGATCTTGGCATTGGGGTGCTGAAGTAAAGATAAATTTTATCCAGAAGCTCATTAAGCTTGAAAGCAGGGACAACCCTCAAAGAAAATCAAAGGATGATGTCTTAGTTATCTAGTACTGCTATAACAGAAATACCACAAGTGGGTGGCTTTAACAAAGAGAAATTTATTCTCTCACAGTTTAGGAGGCTAGAAGTCTGAATTCAAGGTGCCAGCTCCAGGGGAAGGCTTTCTCTCTCTGTTGGTTCTGGGGGAAGGTCCTAGTCATCAATCTGCCCCTGGTCTAGGAGTATCTCAGCGCAGAGGCCCCGGGTCCAAAGGAAGTTCTCTGCTCCCGGCTCTGGGCTCTGTTTTCTTGGTGGCATGAGGTCCCTCTCCCCTCTGCTCGATTCTCTTTTACATCTCAAAAGAGATTGACTCAAGATACAACCTAATTTTATAGATTGAGTCCTGCCTCATTAACACAACTGCCTCTAATCCTGCCTCATTAACATCATAGAGGTAGGATTTGCAACACATAGGAAAATCACATCAGATGACAAAATGGTGGACAATCACACAATACGGGGAATCACGGCCTAGCCAGGTTGACACATTTTTGAGGGACACGATTCAATCCATAACACATAGCATCACCTACTCTCTGCTCATTGCTCACTCCTCACCTCCTATCTGCTCACTGCTTATCAACAGCTCTATTTCCTCAGCTACTGAATTGTCTCTGCTGATAGAGCTAGGTTCAAGAAGAAGGTATTACCATATTTTTAACGCAAATAACGCACATCTTCTACGTTTGTTTGCCAACCATGCCCCCATTCTGCAAAGTATTTTCGTAAGTGCGCTATGCTAATTTTTTAATAGCAACATGTAAAAAAAAAAAAAAATGGCATAGTGGCCTAATGAAAATACTTTGATGGGGGAGAACGTGGTTGGCCAACACACACAGAAGGCATGCATTATTTATGGAAAAATACAGTACCTTCCCTTCTCCTGGGCTCAGAAGGCTAAGGAAGAAAAGTGCTACCTCTCTTTGTTTCATGAACACAATGGGAATTTTACTGTGTTTGAGTTAAATAGTGTTGATTTCTCCTATATATGGAGTTGACTAGGACAGCCAAATTAATACTGTAATCAACAAATTCCACAAACAAAAATAATCCATATTTATGGTTCTATTAGTTTATAAAATTACTATTTTTGAAGGTACAAAATGATCAAATATTGTCAATTTAATATTGGTTGAATCTAATATATCTTCTCATGAAAGAAAAATGCTATGCTACACAAAATAGCTTATTTTGTGTTTCTGGAACTGACAGGGTATAAGTACTAACCATGTTTACTTTTCCCACAAGACTAGGTTCAATTTAAAAAAAAAAAAAAGGAATTCGATAATGAGGAACCAAATGTGGTAAACTTCTTAGGAAGAAATATTTAGTAACTGATTTAACTGGCAAAGTTATCAAATAATTAATCTTAAACGTTTTCATTTCCAAACTGCCAAATAAATATCTTTATAAAAGATGAGCTAAACAAAGCGCAGGCAATGGCTGAAAAAAAAAAAAGTATTATCTAAATTACACTTCCATTGTTTACGAATGGTATTCCATTCCAAGATAAAACACAGACTTTGTTCCCAAGTAAAGAATTAATCACTATATCATACATGTCTTCCTGACACTATACCAACATAATCAACTGTCATGGTTTGAATTATGTCTCCCCAAAAATATGTATATTATTTTGACTGGACCATGATTCCTGGTACTGTGTGATTTTCCTATATGTTGTAAATCCTACCTCTATGATGTTAATGAGGGAGGATGGGTGGCAGTTGTGTTAGTAAGGCAGGACTGGATCTACAAGATTGGACTGTGTCCTGAGGCAATCTCTTGAGATATAAAAGACAGAAGTGAGCAGTGAGACAGGGGGAACTCATACCATCAAGAAAGCAGTGCCAGGAGCAGAGCGCATCCTTTGGACAGGGGTGCCTGTGCAGAGAAACTCCTAGTTCGGGGGAACACTGATGAGAAGGCCGACAGAGAGAGAAAGACTTCCCCAGGAGCTGACACCCTGAATTTGGACTTTTAGCCTACTTTGACTGTGAGGAAATAAACTTCTCTTCGTTAAAACCATCCACTTGTGGTATTTCTGTTATAGCAGCACTAAATGACTAAGACATAAACATAAATGTAAAATATACAAAGAACTATTCTTCAAGATAAATATTACTTTAAAATTATGGAAAATCTTTACTTGGCAATATAGCTAGTGTTCTGTTATTCTAAGAATGTTTGAAAAAGTTGTATAAAATACTTCTGGAACTGTCACACAAATATGAAAAGATTCTTCAAACACTATCAGAATAAAAGTGCACAGAGTATTTTAAAAAACTGCTTATGGATTATCATGATTTATGCTGTGAATTTTATCTTCTCCTTTGACTATACTGCCTGAACCTATCATATTATAACACCTAGCTGAGCAAACACTAGGTCAACAACCTTCCATATTGGTAAATTAAATTAGACTTCAAAAAAAAATAGCTGCAGTTGAGTCAACTCCGACTCATGGTAACCCCATGTGTGTCACAGAAGAACGGTGCTCCATAGGGTTTGCAATGGCTGATTTTTCAGGAGCAGATCTCCAGGCCTTTCTTCTGAGGCACCTCTGGGTGGACTTGAACCTCCAACCTTTTGGTTAGCATTTGAGCACACTAACCATTTGTAACACCCAGGGCTTGTTAGCATACATATAGCTGGGAAAAGTTGGTACTGGATTAACAGGACAATAAGAAAATTACATTTTTAAAACTCTGCTTTCAATTTAAATTTTTGCAAGTAAAACTATTTGGTAAGTTGAGATTACATGTACATGATAGGAAACGCATAAGCTTAGAGATGTCTGGTTATTTTTATGTAGTCTTTGATGCTGCTTATGTTCCCTTATAATTAAAGCTTTTTATTTTGCTATTATGTAGTCACTACTGAATTGAAGAAAAGAATCAGAACAACCAGAGAAGTTATAAAAAAAAATGGAGATAAGAAAAATACAGGGAAACAGAGTCAGAACTATTAACTAGTACATTATACAAATGTATGAACAAAGAAACTCTAAATTAAAATGTTCACTAATGATACAATTATATAATGATGGGGGGAAAAATCACAGTTGCCATGGAGTCTGTTCTGACTCATGCAGACCCTGTGTGTGTCAGAGAAGAATTGTGCTCCATAACGTTTTCAATGGCTGATTTTTCAGAAGTAGACTGCCAGGACTTTCTTCCAAGGTGCCTCTGGGTAGACTCAAACCACCAACATCTTAGTTAGCAGCCAAGCACATAACCATTAGCATCACTCAAGGACTCCATAAAATGATGGCCATAGAGTAATATTTGATCAAGTTATAAGATTTATAACTCTCAGACCAAATAATCAGATTCTATGTATCACCATTCTTTTTTCCCTACAGTAGCTTGATATCAGACTAACATGAATTCAAACCAAGTAACATACAAATATATCACCATTCTTGTTAACCTCCATTTTAACCATGTTCTATAAGAATCTGAGTATACACTTTGGAAAGTAATATTTACCTTATCAATCACACCAGGTTGTGGGATGTCCACAAATTTATTGACAGAACTAGCCTTCCCTTTCTCTGTGCTGGTTGGAGATTGGGCAGATGTACCATCAGTGAAAGACTCTTTGGAGGCAGTACGTGTTTTATTGAAAGACTGTGACCTTTTCACCACTGCAAGGGCAAACGGTGAAGGAGCAGAACTTGAGTATGGTCGTGGGGCACCAAAAGTTTTCAAAGTCTTCAAATTTTGCTCTGCTAACTGACTAGTGGGAAGAGGCACAGGTTTTGGAGCGACTGGAGGAGCAGAGGTTTCAATGGGCTTCTGACCAATGATGTCATCACCAGAGTTTTTAATAAGGGGCTGTTGGAGGAGGTTAGCTGTTTTACTTAAGAGAGAAGGAGTTTGCTCTGGAGAAGGCAGCGGATTACTTTCCACCTCTTTACTTGTGAGTTCCTTTGAAGTAGGATTAGGCGCAGCATGGATACTCTTGGCAGCTGCAGATGTCACATACTGACCTGCTACTCTTTTCTGCATCTGTAAGAAAAAAGAGCTTGGTTTGGCCTGGGGATTTGAAATCCTAGATTTAAGTTTTGACTCCAGAATACTGTTTATATCTTCCAAATTCGGTGCAAATTGAGCTGTGCCAGTGTCTCTAGTCATTCTGGGAGTAGGTTTCAGATGATCAGTCATTACACCATTGGTCTTGCTCCCCGCCCCCTGCACCTGGTGCTTTGCTCCCAGGCTAGGTTTTGGTTTAAGGTCTGGCTGTGGTCCCTTTGGGCCTTCAGAAATAACAAGATCTGTTTGGACTGCAGTTTCTTTCACCTTCTCGTCCATGGGCTTTTTTTCTAAAGGATGCATCTCCTGATCATTCTTATACCCTATGGTTTCTGACTCCCCATCTTTCAATATTTCCAGGGATTTGGGAGGCACTATTTTATAAGTAGTCATTCCAATTTTGGGTATATAATCTCTTGTAATTTCATTTGAAGGTTTTGGCTTGGGTTTGGAGTCTTGTCTGTAAAATGGATAGTTCTTTAGATAAGAAGCATTTGAATTTTTATCAGTAACATCTACAGGAGTCAAAAGATCATCATTATCAGGTGAACAGTTTGGATCCTTTATGGTAAGTTGGTCTTCCTGTACAATTAGTGTGCCCTGACTCCTGAATTCTCTTGAGGTATCTACAGAAGTTTGTGGATGCAAAGATAAGTGTTGAGCTGATCTGCTCTTATTTGAAGTTTGCACACTTTCATCAACTTTGAGGTCAGATAAATGATGAGCTTGCTGATTCCCATCAAAACTGTTACAGGAAGGGGCTGTCTGAATTGCTGCATCTTGCATTTTTATCTTTTCGACAGTGAGTTGATTCAGCTTTTGGTCTGACACTGATGAAGTTGCTAGATGATTTTCCTTGTAATTTACAGTAGTATCAGTTTTACATGGCTGATAGTTTGATAGTCTGTCAGCTTTTATGTCCACGTCACTATTTTTGGCAACACAGGCTACATTCATTTCTGTCCTCCTCACCCCATTTTTCTTATTATCTTCTGTGTTCAATGGAAAGGCAATTACTTCATTTTGATCTATTAAGAGAAAAATATATCCTCAAGTTAAATATATTAAATAAAGAAAAGAAAAACTCAAGCTTTCAATGGCTGCCTCCCTAAAACTGAAATACCTTGGTTTGAAATCTACAGGTAATTTCTCCACTCACTAATTATATAAAGGCAAGTAGTGGCAATGGAATCTTGGAGACCTGAGTTTGGAACCTGGCTTGAGTAGGTTAAGCAGGTTACTTAAATGCTTTGAGCCTCTCAGTTTGCACATATGTAAAAAGGTGAAAGTATGTCTTATATTTTATAACATTCTGTAACACTATTAACAGGATACGGTATTGCCCAGAACAAGCACTCTATACCCACTGCCATCAAGTCAATTCCAACTCACAGAGACCCTATAGAACAAAGTACTGTCCCATAGGGTTTCCAAGGAGAGGCTGGTAGATTTGAACTGCCGAATTTTTTTTGGTTAGCAGCCAAGCTCTTCAGCCACAGCACTCCATAGAAAGTAGCTATTCCTCTTCTTAGAAACAAAGACCTCATATTTCAGTCTTGTTAATGATGACAAAAGCAAGAAATAAACACATTCCAACACTGTAATTTTTGATTTCATATTCGCCATTTTGATTCTTTTCGTATAGACCCTAGTGTACTGATATTCCATACCTTACGTTAAAAGGGAAACAGTTTTAACAAATGTCAGTTTTAATTACAGCAGACAATAGAGAGTATTACCTTTTTAAGACTTAAAGTAAGAACAGAATCTAAGCTGATTATCTTGTTCATTGGTATCCTTTCTTAAAGACTTTCAGAGGACTTTGATTATGGTCTTCACATGGGTGATATCAACTACGTTAAAAACATTCATGTTGCTTTTGATTTTCTCTGTGGGAAAACACTTACACTTATCCTTTAAGAGTCAGAGCCCAAGTGGAGAAAACCATCCCCTTCTCCCTGTGCTACTTTCCCTCTTGATTCTAACACAGTCATGCTCAAAATAAAATCATTTGCCAGTATCTAGGTTAACAGCTGCCAGTCAATAGCATGATGGCAAACAACTGGAGTAAGGCACCTGGAAGGAAACACAGGTTAATGATTGTGTACTATGTCTCTAGTACTGAACTCCGTGACTTATATACTGTGCTTCCCTATTCGAATGTACAGAAGAATCACCTCTCATGCATGACTACTGGCCCTCACCTTCAAAAATCTTAGTGGCTCTCCCTTTTCAGCAGGGCCTCAAACCAGTTTGTTCCAGTTCAAACCCCTGCTGAGAATCTGCATTTCAAACAAGTTCCCAAGCGATGCTAATGCTGCTTGATTAGGGACCAATTCTGAGAACCACTAGTAGAGCTGGCGGGGGGCTGGTCCTCAAAATTTAATAAGAATCACCTGGGGAGCTTGTTAACCTGTAGATTCTGATTCAGTATATCTGGGGTGGAAATGCAAATTCTCAGCAGGGGTTTGAAGCCCTGCTTTTCAGTTATGGTAGCTGCATAGCTTAGGTGAAATGTGGGTCTTGGGAATCAAATAGTGAGAGGATGTCAGGTATCTTCTATAGTTTTATCATCACCCACTTTTACTGCTGGGGGGGTGAGATCATGTTTACTGCCTAGAATGTAATGTAATTTAAAGTAGTTTTTATGTTAAAAAAAAAAGAAAAGAAAAAGATATGCATGTATAAATATGTTGCTAGGCAAATTTGTGAACAATTTTTTAAAATATCTTCACATTTTTATGCATTACACAATTATTTGGTCATGGTAGTTAATATTATTTTATATTATGTTGTAAAGTTTCTATACCAAATATATAATTTTAAAATGCAATTCACTTTTACTCTTTCAAAATAGAATCAACACAACAACTATTTGTACACTTGTCTGGAGCAAAAGAGAAAGAAGGAAACCAAAGAGTCAAAGAAGAAACCAGTCTACAGGACTAATAGCTCACACAAACCATGGCCTCATCCATCCTGAGACCAGAAGAACTAGATGGTACCTGGCTACCACTAACAACTATCCTGACCAGGGACACAATAGATGGTCCTAGATAGAATGGGAGAAAAACGTAGAACAAGCCTCAAATTCTTAAAAAAGGCCAGACTTACTGGACCAGTAGAGACTACAGGATCCCCTGAGACTATCATCCTGAGATACTCTTTAAAATTTGGAACTGAACGCACTTCCAGTGGTCACCTTTCAGTCAAATAATAGATTGGCTCATAAAATAAACAATATCACCTGTGGGTACTGTGCTCCTTTTAAAGAATCATCTCTATGAGACCAAACAGTCAATATTTACCCCAAAGCAAAGATGAGAAGCTTGGGGGTGGGGGTGGGGGGCAGGAAAGCAAGATTAATGGAAGCAGAACCACCAGAATGGAAATAATGAGAATGCAGACACATTGTGAAAAATGTAACCATGACACTGAACAATATGTATAGAAATTGTTAAAGGGGAACCTAATTTGCTGTGTAAACTTTCACTAAAAATACAATTAACAAAAGAATCAAAATAGTTCAAAATAGAACTTACTATCAGATTATGTATTGTCTTTATGAGTGACTTTTCTCAATGACTAATAATATCAACTATTATGATTTATAAAATTAAGGACTCATGTAATTAGCAACCAAAGAAAAGGCACATTTCTGCCTCTGCTCTTACATTCTTAGTTCGTAAGTATTTTCTAATATCTATATGAAAAGCATGACTTTCAACACTGCTATGAGCATGAAAGAATATAAGAAATGGTCCCTGGCACCAGGAAATGAGCCTAAACATACTTCCTTCTCTCTTGCTTATTTCTCATTTTCCACTAACTATAGGCATATCCCAGTTTATACAATAGAAATATTTTCTAAAAGAAAGATCACTATAAAGATATTTTTAATTAAATCCCTATAATTGGCCCTAATTTACTGGTTTTAAAACTAGATTTCTGTTTTACACATTTTTGTTGGGTTATACCTAACTTACTATTTTGTAACTCTAAAGTTCTCATCAACATTTTGAGATTATCTGCAATGATTGTCAGAACAAGATTTGTATATCCTGGAAACCTAGAATCACCAACTGAATTTATTAGCTAATCCATCTTTACACATACCCGACCATAAAGCTAACCATGTGTCTAGAAGTCGCTATGGGTGGTTATGCATTTTCCACAGATGGCCAGTAGAGGGAGAAGATGGCTTTTGTACTATGCCATTCTTTCCCTACTCAAAACCAACACTGACCTACAACATGAGATGATGGTTTAGATACGCACATAGGTAGGTAAAATGGAAAATGAATAAGACTACTTTAAAGATAACAGAATTTATTTCTTATTTTAAAAATCACCTCGAGTGACAAAGGTCATTGCAAACCAAGTGTAAATTAAAATAATTATTACATAAATGTATTTGGGACCCTAGCACTAACCTGATGCCAAAATCTTAGAAAAAATGATGTAAACAGCTTTAAATCATGATTTCTCAATAGGAATGCTGTTGTCATCATAGTACATGCTATGAGAAACTGAATCAAGAGAAAGAGAATTGGGAAATTATATACTTTAGACCTCCTCAGTAAGGGGTCTCAGTATGGTATTGAATGTGGGGGAAAATGAATCAAGGACGTATGTATTCAGGTTAACTGATACCACATTTATAAAATAATACCTAGGTTTTTAACACTGGAATACTCCATGTGTTATCCAAATACAAATATTTATATCACTGTTTTCTGTTTCTAAGAATCTCAACCTAGTTTTGTACATTAATATAATAGATTGGACTATGAAGTTTCAGGACCCACTTCTTTATCCCCTTAAAATATCCTTGCACATTCTTTGTATCCTCTATTTAGGTAGTATAATTTTTTGGAAATTCAATTCTACAGTACATATTTTATAAATTATCCACTACGTACTCAGTATTTTGCTAGGTTCTATGAGAAATTCAAATGTAGTATCAGATGTAATTTGTTTGATTCAAGATTATCTAATTTAGTTGAGGAGTAAATATTATAGAAGTACGTGGACTTGAGTGATCAAGTAGAAAAACAGATGAAGTGGTAGGATTTGGACAGAAGTCAACGGGCGACGATAGATAGTAAATGGTTTTCCACGCAAAGACAACATGAGCATAGGCCTAATGACAGAACTGAGCAAACAGTATCATGAGCAAGGAAAAAACTGTCATGAATTTGGGATGGTACTGGGAAATAGTGGAAACTAAAGTTACATAATTAGATGGGCTGAGACTTGAAAACGAGGCAGACAAGTTTCATCCAAGGTATAACAACTTGATATAAAGTAAAACAAGCTTGGACTAAGGAGTTGGTAGGAAGAAAAGAAACAGGTCACAAATAGAAGCATAAAATGTACATTTTTAACACACAAGGTCTAAGTTTCGAGAAAAAAATAAGTAGTACACATGACGGTTAACAGCAGAATTTGGAGCAATATTGCCTGAGTGCAAATCCTATGTCTACCACTTACTAGTTGCATGACTTGGGATAAGTTACTTAACATTTCTGTGGCTCAATCATCTGTAAAATGGTACTAAAATAAATAATACCTACATCTTAAGTTAGGCAGGTATTAAATGAGTTAATATCAAGATTAAATGAGTTCATATATATAAATTAAGATTAGCCCTTGGCTCATAGTAAGTGCTCTGAAGGTGTTGGCTATCATTGTTCATGTAACTCACCATTGTCTTGGTTTGAGCCCAGTGACTTCAAGTTTCGTACACTGTCAACCGTCATCTCTTCATTGCTTGTATTATATACCATAATGTGTGGTCTTCTGTAAGATATACTGTATGTTATCTATTGATACCATTCAAACACATACACATGATGAGAGAACAGGCAATAATTTCCAAAGACAGATGGACTGAAGTAATCATCTCTTTCTGCCAAAAACCAGAAATTTAATAGCAAAGAAAAAGTACAACTGAGAGGAAATGCTGCTATGAAACATTAGCTTTCATATTATGGTCCTTTTACAAAGAAAGATGTAGGAAGCTTGGTAAAATGGATACTTTTCCAAAACAGTGTCTTTATAAACAAGATATGGTGTCTTTATAAACAAGATATGGATTGACCTCACTGATGTCTTTCCTGGGGATGGAATAGTTTATTGGAGACAATCCCATGAAAATTAGTGCAAAACTTTGATGAAGATGGTTTATTTTGCCTCGTTGATTTCAACTTTATTCATAGTGTGGTATTTCCAACATAATATAAGTGGATTATACTATAGCTTCCAATTTCTATGATCAAGAATAGGTGTCACATGCATCCCAGCTTTCTCTTAGATGACCTGTGGAGAACTTAGTGGAAAGTGCATTCTCTGCACCATGAAGTTGACTATAAAAATACTATTGGCTATTTAATATCATATTCTAAGAAGCAGAATTGTTTTTATATACCAGTTATTGAACATCCTGGAGGATGTTTCATTTAGGTCAGAGAGATAATAGGCAAAAAATAAATGAATAAAAAAATAAAACTAAGTTTTGAGTCATATAATTTAACTACAGGTTTTCGTTTATATGACATAGAGGGAATGAGGACTGTTGAAACTGATTTTATTTACATATTTAAACACAAATACTTTATTAATAAACAATTTTCTAGTTAGGGTAAAAGGGTTGGAATCTAAAACCAAAGGGCTGGTTATATTTGTGTTAAAAATAGCAGATCTATATTTCAGAAGACTAGTATTAATTAAACTAACTATTACCAACACTTGTAGCACACAGACTACTTACTGTCCATCTGTGTTTCTAGTTTCTTGTTTTTCTTCCTTGGAGTTTTGTGAGGACTCTCCTGTATCACTGCCAAGGGCTGAGTCAGGATTATTTTTCATAGTATTTATTATATCAGTAGACACAAAAGGAATTTCTTGTGAGTTCAGAGGAATATTTTCAGCCTCATCTTTAGGCACTTCACTCAGTTCTTCCTTTTCATCTATCTCTTCAAGACTGTAATCAGAGCTTATTCCAGCTACAAAGAAATGCAGATATAATCCTAAATATTAATTTGCCTCATTCATTCTGTACAATCCTGGCAAGGGAGGACTTTTTTGAAATAATAATTAACTGGACTCTTAAATTCTGATTTAAAAGTGAAATATTTTTCTAATGGTGAATAATCATGTTAACATATAACCAGATTATCTTAGATATATACAAATCCAAAAATAATATGCTATCACTCTAGATTTTATTCAGGGTAGAAAGATTATTTAATCACATAAACTTCAAATTGCATGTTTAAGAATATATTTTTTAATTAAATGATTTCTATGTTCATGCAATAGTTCTAAATGCCCTCCTAAATGAAAATTAGAAAGACATGAGGTTTTGTGTTATCTATAAACGTACTTACAGAATTCAACACAGTAGTTATCAGTACTTATTATACATCAGAATTACCTGAGCCTTTTTTAAAAATATGACATTCATACCCCACCCCACACCTATTAATCAGAATCTCTGGAAGGTGGGCCCAGAACATTTTAAGGTTACCCTGTTGATTTTAATGTGCAATCAGGAATAAGAGCCACCAATCTACCATATTTTTGTACAAATAACACACACGCTGTACGTTTTTTTTTTGCCAAACACGCCAACTCACCTTCCTCCCATTTTCATAAGTATTCTGTGTGGGCATGTTATTTGCAAAAAAAAAAAAATACGGTAGATGCTTAATGGATTAATTTAATAGATGTAAATAGAACAAGTATGATAGAACAGAAATTTAATTTTTATTACCACGCAATTTGGTTCTCAGTGGCAACTCCCTTTAAGCTTTTTTTCCCTGTGTATTACTAAAAAATGTAATGCATACATATAAACATCCATGTACACTGACATTTTTCCTTTTTTGTTGGTTTATTTAATATAAACGGAAGCTTCCTATATCCTATTCCTATGCATTTCATCTTTCTTTCCGCCACTTACTGTATCTTTAATATCATCCCATATCAATGTGTATTGTGTGTGTCTGTGGACACACATTCATGTGTGTGTGAGTCTTTTGAATAGCTGTGGTCAATATTTCACCATATAAAAATGTATTTATTCCCCAGCGCCAACAACAAATGGCCAGCAAGGTAAAAGAGGAGACATCCTACACAGGCAGAACCCACACTTATTGTCAAGATAGCTATGAAAGTAAATTTAAATCAAAGAACGAGGTTCTGGAACTTTGCTTACTTAAACATATTTAAACACTTTCATTTATATAATAATAGCCAAACAAAGTTTAATTTTATCACAAGAGGGGAAAATGTGTAATAGTATTAGATTATAGTGATCAATCCATCTACAAAATTTAATAAAAAGCTTAACATAGTTGAAGAACATTTAAAATACTTAAAATGTATTTCTTTAATTTTATCTCTAGGTATATAGACAGCAAAATGTGCTGTTTGTGCTCTTTAAAAAATAAAGTGGGAAATTTTAAAGGCACTTTTCTTATAAATAAATAATTAGGTTCCTCAATAGAAACATATTAAATAGTTGGAGTTTAAACGAATTTTCACATATATGTATTTTGGCAAGTTGTGTTTTATCATGAAACGTGAAATAATCATCACCATGCAAATGTGTAATATGTGTTCATGTATTTATATTGTATACTTAAATAATTTTTTATGTAGTATTGCATTTATATAGTATACTTATATAATTTTATATCTTGAGAAAAATGAAAGGTCATGTTGGTTTAGATGCTAATGTATTTTATAAATGGCTTCTCAGCATATATTGTTTTGGAAATTACGTTAACTGAGGTTACATTTAACAAATTTTTGCCATCCTTATTACTCTCCTTCCCATGACAGATATTTCAGAGATATACAACTTCTCTTTAAGTAGGGTTCCTCATTGAGAAACTGGTCTCAATTAATTAAAGTATAAACAATGAATGACATCCTTTCAACTTATTATTCCAGAATTTTATAACTTAATAGTTATATAGTCATTCTTAAATATTATATTTTATTACCTTGAAAAGCATACCTGTTATTAAAAAGTCTTAGAAAAGGCAGTGACTTTATAAAAAAATTTAATCATCCAAGAGCATTTACATAGTCTGCTGTTTTTGCTTAGTACAGATTTTCCCAAGCTTTGAAAATATTGCACTGAGTTTGTTTTGTTTGTCTACAGAGGCTTATGGCCAAATTTTAGTCCTACCAAAAAAAAAAAAAAAAAATTGGGGTGGGGGTTGTGAACAATACAACTAAGTAATTTTGACAAAGGTTATATCACAGCTATTGTTATTTCAGCTTCGTAACTGCTAAAAGAAGAATATTCTGTCTCAAAGAACAGAGTGTCCACAATTTTAGCGAAGTTTTTTTTTAAGATTTAACAACCTCAGAGTACGATGTTGAAAACTTGCAAAATCATTTGAAAGTATAATTATTTAAATTTATTTTACACTTATTGGGTTTTATATAATTTGAATATTTTAATTTTTCAGTCCCTCTGAAGATAGCATGGACTGAAACAAAAAATTAAATTTATTTATGGAAAATTCACAAAACGCAATACATGTAAAAGAGATACAAATAATTAAATTTTCAAAGATGTTTTTGTAAGTTTCTAGCATTTTACTGGTGAAGTTATAAGCTCCAAACCTGCATAAAATTTCAAGTGAAAAGGAGGACACTACTATTTGTTTAGGAAACATTTTTACACAAGGGTTCAACCAGTAACCGCATCTATATGTGATGATGTCTTAATCCGCATGAAACAAAGCATCAGCAAGGAAAGGCTCCACCACCTACATGTCAGTGATGCAACAGCTGCCTCAGATGTTCCAGGGCACTCGGAAACAGAGGTTTCCTCTGTCAGTATGGGCGCAGTGCACCATTCGTAACTGGGGAGCCCAGGGCCAACACAGGCTTCTGCCAAAGAAGTAGAATCTGTGGAAATGCACTTAGACAACAGAGTTATGGCAAGCAGAGGCCATGATGCATTAGAGAAGAAATCAGATTTGTTAGCTCACAATTATATACACACATTAAACAAGAAGAGGTAAAAGGGAATAAAGAAAGAGAAAAGGTATCAAGCAAAGTTTGAGTAACATTCACACTTTTTTCTAACACTCATGAATCTTCTAATTTCACTTATACAGTTTAAGTGAACATTATTCAATAAATTTCCTTTGTGGAACAAAACTATGGCATTGATATCATTCTGGGTAGGAGGTTAGAAAAATCATTACCAGTTATCTTACCTAAAAGTATTTTTAATCACAAACAGAAGAGGAATTTTTTATATATCTTATTTTTTAAATTTATTTATATTTATATTTATTTTATATAAGGTATATAAAAATTCCAAACTCCTAAATAGCACTTAAAGATTAAAATTCAGGAGCATTTGGCTGCTCCTGAATTTTTTATGTATCTGTGAATATAAATTATAAAAATTAGGTAGAATTCTATTAAGCAATTTTCATACCTATCAAATTATCCCCATGCTAAAGTACTTGCATAATAATATTTTATTTTGTATGGTATTACTCGTCTATTATATTCATGAATATCCACTTTAACTGTAAGAATTAAGAAATTTTATCATATTTATTCTTACAATAGCTACTAAATAGCTATTAATGAAAACATTACAAAAATATTAAATTATTTAATTTTTAATGAAATTTCATTTATTTGGAGAGAATCCAAAATGAGAGTCATATAACAGAGAATATTTTCATTATAATAAAAAATTTTTGCTACTAGAATAGTGCATAACATGGATGTTGAATTCATACTTGGGATAACTGCTTAAAGAAATGATGCTTTACACCTTTATGTAAGTTTTCTTCTGAACACACAAAAGGACCTTCCTAACTACAATGTGCCATCACTCTGGGGGAGGACGTCAATAAAGGTTAACTTGACATTGCATAAGAAAACACAAAAGACCTCATCGGGAATTTACTCAAGGCATCATTCCAGAATTGAAATTTTGAGATCTGTCCATTTCATACTTTCATCCCATGTGGGAGGGATTCATTTCATGATATAAAATTTGGGAAATGAGGCTAGAGGATCTGTATCCTTTTTACATAAAGAGTATTATAACTGATTGTGGTAAAAGTTCTTCCCTTCCAGTAATTACAGGATGTAGAGTGCAGCTGTCATACCTGGGCTGGATAACCCTTCAGGAGATTTAGCTTCTGAAACATTGTCCGTAGGAGCTGTTTCTACTGACTGCAGGGCTGGAAGAAAGAAACAACAAAACTTATAAGCAAGCCACACTCTCAAATAAAACAATTCCTTACTGGTTTAATTTAGCTATTTAGTAAACGCATGAGCCCCAACCTTGCTAAAAGCTATTTTACCATCTAGCTCTGAAACGACTAAACTCCACTTAGATTCCCATTCCTACATGTAGTCAATCTTGGAATGGCTGTATCTTTCGGAATAAATTTACAAAGTATAACGTGCTTACTTTAAGATAATGGAGCTTAGCAATTTATCATTTAATTTTGTTATGTGGCAGACTTAAAAAACGCAATTAAGTGAAAATCAGGGACCACCTAAAATGTTTAAGGAAATTATTGTTTAATAAAAAAACTGAAAAATTGTAACTTAAATCATTCCTACTGTCTAGATTAAACAAAACACAATGCACATTTAACGTTAATGGGAAAAGTACCATTAGCAGTCCTGTGACTATTTTCGTCACTTTGATGCACAGGCGTTTTGGAGGGTGGGGATGGTGCTCTTCGCTTTGTCCTTCTCAAAGACGAATTCCCCGAGGATGTGCTACTGAGCTGCAGTGAGCCTGTCCTCACTATGCCTGCTCCACGGGAACCCTTTGGAAACAAAATGAACAAACACAATCCTTTATTTAGAAATGAATATCAAACTTTAGGAAGGCACTGACCTTTATGTTAAACACATCATCTACCAAAATGAAACATAATAGTTATTAACTAAAAAAAATTTATGAGCCAGGAGCTGGGCCATGGGATGGATATGTATAGAAAAACAAATTATGGTTCTTCTCAAGAAACTCAGTCTATATGGGAGACTGACATGCAAACAATTCGTTATAATGTAGAGGGCTTAGAAGCAATAGAAAAACTAACTTTCAAAGAAAAATCTGGAGAAAATATTGGAAGTATGGGGTTGAAAAGGCAAGAATATGTGCCCATTAAGAAAGCAGGCCTGATTAATCTCTATCTTTTTGGCACTGATGTATCAACAACAAACATTTCAAAAATCTATGTCTAGCCATGGCAAGGTCTTTTGAGGTTGCTGACTCTACAAACAGCTAACACTCACCCTCACGCATGTGACTGTCAGCAAACCTAAGACAATCCTGCCTCTGCAGGCTGGCAGGTGCCTCCTGGCCAACAGCCATGTCATCTTGCTCTTTCCCTTTACAAGAAAACTGCTTGAAAAAGTTGTTCATAGATCTTGTCTCCAATTTTTCTTCTCCCACTTGAACCCTTCCAATCATTTCCCTCTTTCCTGCTCCATTGAAACTATTCCTATCAAAGTCACCAATGATCTCCACATGACTCAATCAGCGGTTACTTCTCAAAACTCATTTACTTGCTATTAGCAACATTATTCAGAATTGACCTTAAAATACTTTTTCTCACTTCCAGTGTCCCTTTCTTTCGACAGATTGTAACTTTCTGGCTACTCAGTTTTCTTGGTTGGTTCTATCTCCTGACCTAACATTGGTGCGACTCAGGGTTCATTCCCTGGATATCTTCTTCTTAGAATCTATGCTCACTCTCTTGGTGATTTCATCTATTCTCTTGGTTTAAATATTTACATGCTGATGAATTCCAAACTTTTGTCTCCATCCTGGCCTTCTCATCTCTGCGTAATGTCTAAGGCCATCTCTAACATAACATGTCTAAAGCTGAGACCCTAATAACTCCCCTTCTCCCTTTAACCCAGAAATCCTGTTCTTCTCACAGTCTTTTCTGTCTCAGCAAAGAGCCAGATATTCTTTCATTTGTTCAGATCATAACTTAGAAGTCACCCTTGTCTCCTCCCTTTGATCTTCCACATGGATTCTACCCTGTTGGTTCATTCTGTAAAAGACATCTGGAATCCATCCACTTTTCAATACCTCGACTGCTACCACACAGTCCAAATCATCATCACCTCTAGCCTGGATGATTTTAAGAACCTTCTAACAGGACTCCTTGCTTCCACAATGCTTCCCTACAGTACTTTCTTGTTTTTTAAATTTATTTTGTTGTTGAGAATACACACAGCAAAACACACACCAATTCAATGGTTTCTACGTGTATAATTCAGTGACACTGATTACATTCTTTGCTTTGTGCAACCATTTTCCATTTTCACCCCTCTTCTCTGAGTCGTTCCTCTTCAGTTAACATAAACTCACCACCTTCTAACGTTCCTATCTAATCTTTCGAGTTGCTGTTGTCAGTTTGATCCCATATAGATAGTTCTTAAAAGAGCATAATGCTCAGGGCAGACTTCTTTTTACTAGTTAAGCTAAGCTATCATTTGGTTTTAAGAAAACTTTAGGAGATATTTTCAGTTTAAGGTTTAAAGATTATCTCAGGGCAATACTTTCAGGGGGTCATTCAGCCTTCATGGCTAGAGAAAGTCAGGAGTCAATGAGAATTTGAAATTCTCTTCTCCTATAGTACTTTCTTAACACAGCAGCAACCAAAAGGAACCTATTAAAAACATACATCAGACTAGGTCGCTTTAGTCAAACCTATGGTTTCTCACTTAGCATAGAAAAGCCAAAGTCCTTATGAATTCCCATATAAAATGTTAAAAAAAAAAAAAAAAAAAAGGCTAGGAAAGCTACTGCTTTCTAACCAGCATTCCTAAACCCTATTTTTGTTTGTGTGTACTTTGGGAGTATGCTCTTAGTAGTTTCCCAATAGTTCTACTCTTGCATTAGTCAAGGCTGAGTTACCCAGTATTTTTGGGTCTGAATTTTACATAATTGGTGAGAGGCTACAGAGGGTTTGCATGTTGGAAGGCACCTCAGGGTGCCTTTGTTTGTTACCAAACAAATGGGCTTTGGAGTCAACACTAGGGCTTGAACCAGGAAGTGTGCCATTTATTGACTCTGTGACCTTCAGCCTCCACATTTATAAAATGGGAAAAGTAACAGTGCCTGTTACTGGCTGGGATGCTTAAATGGAATGATGTATGTAAAATACTTCGCACAGTGCCTGGCATATAGTACCTGCTTTATAAACATTCGCTAATATTACATGCAATTTGTCTATTCTAAAGTATGCAAAAGTGCTTTTAAATAAAATATGCAAATCAGTTACTATTATATGGAGGTTAGAGGGAAAGTTATGGATAAAAGAAGGTATTTATTCTAAGTTTGTGCTTTCTCTTGGGTGGTGGTGGGGTCCTGTTAAGAGTCAGTAGTCAGTTATAATCAACCTTAAAACTTCAACAGTACCCAGCCTTTAGAGACCTATATTTAGCCCACTACATAAGCTCATTATTTATCTAACAACTCCACCTTTAAAATCACCTAAGGCAGCTTCAACATACCTTAAGAAAATTTAATAAAAGCTAAAATTTAACACCAGTTTGTTAAATCTTAGTGGTGAGTACATGGATGTATGTTATATTACAGTGAAATCTATGAGAGCCAGAACTCGATGGGACTGTCTTGTTTTTCCAGGTCAAGTTTTCCGCCTTTGACAGGGTACAGTCTTCACCACTTTTCTATCACTTGTTTTAGTGGAAAGTACCTGAGTTTTCCTTCTCTGATAAGTTTCTGCCTTACACAGGCTCCACCTTTCATAGGTTTTACTGTACATAACTATGAAATACATAATAAACAAACGTAATGTGAAGAATTAAGGTTAAAGGACTGCCCGCAGCCATCTTTAGATTTTGCTGCCAAGCTTTATTTATTTCCTTTGGTCAAGTTACTACTGAATTTTTATAAAGGGGTCAGGAGATTAAATTATTTTAAAGTCGAAATTAACAAAACAAGAAAAAAAAGAAGTTTCTTCTTATTAAGGGAAAAAATGTTTTGGTTAATGGTTAGACATGTTCAACTATTTACTTTAGTTAGAGTCACTGATAAGTCTGCCTGCCAGGGGAGAAAATGGCACCTCTAACAGGAATGCACATCACCAAATTTTATGGTCTGTGGAAAGGAGGAGACTGCAAGGAGGACCTGAATACACTGGCAAAAATGCCAAGGTCAAGTCGAAAACAATGCCAGAGAGTTAATCCCCCAGAATTCACACCCAGATCAGAATTCACTGGTTCACAGCGAACTAAATTTAGTTAAAAACAGAACCAAATAGCGTTCAATAGATTTACTGAGTACCAGCTCTGTACTGGTTATTAGATCACCTATTAATCACAGTTAAAAGATGTAGATCATTGAAATCAATATATTCTGGATCAAAAGATCATTTGTGAAAGAATACAAATGGGAAAAAAGGAGAAAAAAAAAGGTATAAAAGTACAGTAGCCCAACTTCACTGACATTGTTAAATGTTTCTATTACAAGCTTTTGTTTTTTTTTTAAATTTTTTGTTTATAGTATAATTTCCACATGTGGGGGTGGGCGGGGTTAGAGAAGGAAATCTAAGCAATCTCTTCAACTTGCCTTGAAACTGATTTTTTTTTCTTCTTAAGAGACAGACTCAAATTATCTTTCTCCAACATGGACATTCCTAATGAAAACTATGAAATATTAAATATTTTATAATGGGCATTAAGTTTACACAAATTTACTAAAAATTATGTCCCAATGCCTGAACTTTACATATAACTGAAAAAGAAACTTGTAGCTTTCCTGTTAACTTTTATGGAAGAATTCTTTCTGAAATAATTTTACAACTTAGGAAACCAAGTCAGTTTTCTTAAATTTCAATATTACGTTGTTTTTGTTGTTAGGTGTCGTCAAGTCAGCTCGGACTCATAACAACCCCATGCACCACAGAACGAAACACTGCCCGGTCCTGTGCCACGCTCACAATCGTTGTTATGCTTGAGCCCATTCTTGCAGCCACTGGATCAATCCATCTCGTTGAGGGTCTTACTCTTTTTTGCTGAACCTCTACTTTACCAAGCATGATGTCCTTCTCTAGGGACTGATACCTCCTGACAACATGTCCAAAGTATGTTTAAGACGTAGTCTCACCATCCTTCCCTCTAAGGAGCATTCTGGCTGTACTTCTTCCAAAGCAGATTTGTCCTTTCTTTTGGCAGTCCGTGGGATATTCAATATTCTTCGCCAACACCACAATTCAAAGGCGTCAGTTCTTCTTCAGTCTTCCTTATTCATTGTCCAGCTTTCACATGCATATGAGGCGATTGAAAACACCATAACTCGATGAGGTGCACCTTAAGTCTTCAAGGTGACATCTTTGCTTTTCAACAGTTTAAAGAGGTCTTTTGCAGCAGATTTGCCCAATGCAATGTGTCTTGATTTCCTGACTGCTGCCTCCATGGGTGTTGATTGTGGATCCAAGTAAAATAAAATCCTTGACAACTTCAATCTTTTCTCTCTTTATCATGATGTTGCTTATTGGTCTAGTTGTGAGGATTTCTGTTTTCTTTATGTTGAGGTGTAATCCACACTGAAGGCTGTGGTCTTTGAGCTTCATCAATAAGTGCTTCAAAAGTCCTTTTCACTTTCAGGAGGCAAAGTTGTGTCATCTGCATAATGCAGGTTGTTAATGAGTCTTCCTCCAAACCTGATGCCCCCTTTCTTCTTCATATAGTCCAGCTTTTCAGACTATTTGTTCAGCATACAGATTTAATAGGTGTGGTGAAAGGATGCAACCCTGATGCACACCTTTCCTGACTTTAAACCACG